GATGTATTTTTAATTCACTGTTTGTTCCAAAGTGTTTTCCACAAACTGTACAACTGTAAGGTTTCTCACCAGTGTGTCTTCTTTGATGTCTTTTTAAATCACTATTTGTCACAAACTGTTTTTCACAACTTGCACAACTGTAAGGTTTCTCACCAGTGTGTGTCCTTTGATGATATTTTAAGCTACCATTGGTTATAAATTGTTTTCCACAAACTCCACAACTGTAAGGTTTCTCGCCAGTGTGTCTTCTTTGATGTGTTTTTAATTCACTTTTGGTTCCAAACCGTTTTTCACAATATGTACAACTGTAAGGTTTCTCACCTGTGTGAATTCTGTGATGTATTTTTAATTCACTCTTTGTTCCAAACTGTTTTCCACAAATTCCACAACTGCATGGTTTTTCACCAGTGTGTGTTCTTTGATGTATTTTTAAGACACTATATGAACCAAACTGTTTTCCACACACTGTACAACTATAAGGTTTCTCACCAGTGTGAATTCTTTGATGTATTTTTAATTCACTGTTTGTTCCAAACTGTTTTTCACAAACTACACAGCTGTAAGGTTTTTCCCCTGTGTGTCTTCTTTGATGTGTTTTTAATTCACTGTTTGTTCCAAATCGTTTTTCACACACTGTACAACTGTAAGGTTTTTCACCAGTGTGTCTTCTTTGATGTCTTTTTAAATCACTACTTGTACCAAACTGTTTTCCACACACTGTACAACTGTAAGGTTTCTCCCCAGTGTGTATTCTTTGATGTTTTTTTAAGTCACTATTTGTACCAAACTGTTTTTTACAATCTGTACAACTGTAAGGTTTCTCGCCAGTGTGAATTCTTTGATGTCTTTTTAATTCACTATTTGTTCCAAACTGTTTTTCACAATTTACACAACTATAAGGTTTCTCACCAGTGTGTGTTCTTTGATGTGTTTTAAATTGATCATTTTTACCAAACTGTTTTCCACACACTGTACAACTGTAAGGTTTCTCATTAGTGTGTCTTCTTTGACACATTTTTAAGCAACTATTTGTACCAAACTGTTTTCCACAAACTGTACAATGATATGGTTTCTCTCCAGAGTGTATCCTCTTTTGTTGTGTTAGGTTATCAAATGGTTTTCCACAACTGTATAGTTTATCATCACTCTGATGTATATTAAATGTTGTTAGGTTATTTCCACTTAATTTTGTTTCGCCACTAATATTTTTGTTTGGGGATTTTACATCTTCTGTAAAGTGATCTTCTTGTTTTACAACATGATAACCAAGAACCTGACTTCCACAACAGATGTTCACACTGGTCTTTATATCTAAAATAGATATAAATGATGTCACAAATTAATTAGTAATAAATTTATAATACATTACTTATTTTTTAGTAGATAAAATCTAAAATCACCTGCAGAAATATGATAGTAGTGTAACACCAACCAATGTTAATCAAGTTTATCCAATGCTTGGATTAACTGTTAGTGGTTGATTATCATGAAATCTTCAAATAATTTGTCTACTTTAACATGTTAATTAACATCAATACTTTATAGTTACTGTTCAAAAGTTCTATACATGGTAAATAAACATTTATAAATGTCAATATTAAACTAAAATATTTATCAAGTTTAGGTATCATTCCTGTAATTAGAAGCTGTTTGATTACTGACTTCAACATGTTAAATTAAGGGATTGGAGATTTGGAATTATTCAATTCTTAAGATTCTATTGACTGGTAGTGTTCAGGATGTAAATGTATGTATGTATGTATGTAAATAAATGACAGCAGTAAATTTTCTGAACATGAAGAACCAGAAAGAAAACAAACACTGGTCAGTTAGAAAGTACTGTTCTCCACATTCATTTTGAGGCAAACTTAATCTTAAAAATTTTTTGATATTTTGTTGTCATTTTATCACATTAAAACTTTCACAGAATAAGTAGAAATAACAAAACACAGATCTATAAACTTCAAATTAATCCTGTCTAATATAATTCAATAACTCTTAAAACCAACAAAAATTCAAACACTTTTTTACATTATAACCAATAGAAAACTGCTGTTTTAATCTATCAAATGATGTATTATATTACATTGTTTATAACCAATAGAAAGGTAATGTTTTAATCAATCAAATGATGTATTATATTACATTGTTTATAACCAATACAAAGCTACTGTTTTAATCAATCAAATGATGTATTATAATACATTATTTATAACCAATAGAAAGCTACTGTTTTAATCTATCAAATGATGTATTATATTACATTGTTTATAACCAATAGAAAGCTAGTTGTTTAATCAATCAAATGATGTATTATATTACATTGCTTATAACCAAGAGAAAGCTAGTGTTTTAATCAATCAAATGATGTATTATATTGTTTATAACCAACAGAAAGCTAATGTTTTAATATATAAAATGACGTATTATATTACATTGTTTATAACCAATAGAAAGCTAATGTTTCAATCTATCAAAATGACGTATTATATTACATTGTTTATAACCAATAGAAAGCTAATGTTTCAATCTATCAAATGATGTATTATATTACATTGTTTATAAGCAATAGAAAGCTAGTGTTTTAATCAATCAAATGATGTATTATATTACATTATTTATAACCAATAGAAAGCTAATGTTTCAATCTATCAAATGATGCATTATATTACACTGTTTTTAGTACAGAGTATTGTCTATTTCACTTTCACTTTAAAAGTTTCTGTCTAGGTGTTGGATAGACATGCATAACGGAAGCTTTAAAGTTTCTTATGTCATAGTTAGAAAGCCAGATAAATTATGATATTCACAGAACAATGTTTCCTTTGTATATGCTATTCTTCTGTGTTCTTATGTACATGATTTAAGTAAATTAAAATTTAGAGTACTTGTACCATAATAATAAAAAAAGTAGACTTTAATTTATTCAGCAAGTGACAGCAAAAAAACAAACAAGAGATCACAGGTAATATATTTCTTGTTTTTGATGTATATTCTATATTTATCTTTATAAAACTATAATATTGTTATATTGAGTAAGATAATGAAAAATGTTAATACAATTCTTCATGAAGTATGCTCGCAAGCAGCTCATAGGTTATGTATTCAATACAGTAACATAAGCTACACTTGACGAAGTGATTTACAACTAGTGCAGGATTATTAATTAGACATGGGTGAAAGAGCAATCTTATAAATAAAATAATTTTCTGTGTATCGGTCTGTCTGTGCGTGTGAAATGCCAATCAAGCCCAAACTATTGGGCCAATTGCCACCACTGTTGACGTATAGACTAAATTGGACCTCCTGGCTACTAAATGCCAATCTGTGCATGTGCAGAACTGTCTCCTTAATACTTTGACCTAGGAAACTCAAACATTGTAGGGTGAAGATGTGCTATAGTGTGCAGAATTAACTTTTTAATGCTTTCACTGGTTGCCCTGAAAATTGACAGGTAGATGGCTTTGGACCCAGGTCAGTCGTAAGCATATTAGACCTAAACCCCAAAGCGCAAATCTGACCTATGACTGATGAAACTATCTTTTTTCGCTTCAAAACAATATATATACATCATCGTCTAAATCCAGACTTTTCCGTTAGTTTTCCCTACAGGTCACCCCCAAAACATAAGAAGTCCAGTCTCTCCAAGTCCAAGGCATTCTCAAAGAGAGTGGCACTGTTGTGAGGAAACCATATGCTGGAGCACCATGAAGAAAGAAACAAGTAATCCACCATAGCTGCATGGGCTGAGGAAACCAGGAGGAGTGGGAATCTCAAAAACTGAATATCCACTGCAGGAGCAAGAGCTGATGAAACACCTGAACACCATTAATCTCAACAAGTAAGAAACTGAATGTCCACCGCAGCATCAAGGGCTGATGAAACACCTGAACACCATTAATCTCAACAACTCAGAAATTAAAGGTCCACTGCAGCAACCAAAGCCAATGAAGAACCACAACAAAGTAGGGAGCACCAGAGGCAAGACCAACATGCTGCTGTTGCAAAAACAAAAAGAAATAACCCTAACTGGAACAGTTAAGATAATCTTTCGTGCCTTCTCAACACTAAAGAGATGGTCAGTTAGAGATAAACACAATGCTTCACTGAGCTTGACTTTTCCATCGGTACAGCACATTCCCTTAGATTCTCCTTTCCACACTTGAACATCACATTCTAGGCAAGTAACTGACACCTTGGACTGGTAATCTATCTCAGGTTGGTAACTTAAAGCAGTTCTGTTCCAGTTCTGCATGTTCTTGCAGCAGCATCATGTTGGTCTTGCCTCTGGAGCTTTTTTGTGGTGTTTCACTGGCTCTGGTTGTTGAGTGGACATTCAGTTTTTGAGTTGTTGAGATTCCTGCTCCTCACGTGTCTCCACAGCCCTTACAGTTGCAGTGGATTCCTTGTTTCTTTGTTGTTGAGACTCCCACTGCTCTAGTGTTTGGTTCGATCCTATTCATTTATGCAAGTTATGAGGGTAAAATGTAATATATGGTAGTATCGTGTCAAGATTGGCCTTCCTGATGCTGAAATTGCTGCCTTGCTGACATTCATCCTCTATGGAGTAAATCCAGACAGACTTGGGCTCTTCAACAGGCAGTGGCTGAATGGATCATATTCTATGATAGCCTTGGCCTTGAACTGTGATGCACCAAAAGGAGTCATTTGAAGGCAAGAATTGTACTTCCTGATGTTGGCCAGAAAGTGCTTTGACTCAGAGGTGTTTGACCAGATACCAAGGATTTCAGTGGCTCGTGAGGGATTTTTACAAGAGTTTCTGATGTTCAACTAGATATTGTCCTCTCCCACCAAGGGATGTTCCACCAACACAATTCATTGATCAGAAGTTTCAAACATTCATCTCAACAAGTTACCTCCAATAATCAGTGCAGACAAGGTTCCTAGGGGTGGAGCATGCATGGAGTTTAAATGTCCAACCTGTGACGAACTTGCTGTTTTTATGGTAGGTGAAGAGCATGGTAAGAGGGACATTATTCTTCAATACCAAGACAACACCATCAAATGAACTGCTGAGACAAATAGAGCCTATGATGCCCTACAATATCTCATGATCCTGTGGCAAGGTCAAGATGGGTACCACTTCAAGATTCCTAAAATTATCAGTGACAGGTCAAGCTCATTCTAACAGAACTATCTCCTCCAAGGACTTCATGATCATGGACAGAGGAGGAAACCACATCTTAAGGTGCACCAACCTTTTTCACCATTATGTTGTGGATGAGTTTGCCAAAACTGAATGTGAGCACCTCCGTCACATTCAATTTAATCAAAAACACCTGAGTGTAGAACAGTATGTTCATCTCAGAGATGCTGTAAATGCTGATGGAGATGCAAATGCTCAGAATATGTGGAGATTGGTTATTTTGTCTTCATCCTTCACAGATGGACCAAGATACATGTATGAGAGGCCTCAAGATGCAATGACTTATGTCAGGCAATATAGCAGCCTGATCTCTTCATCACTTTAACTTGCAATCCAAAACCCACATTGAGCTTTATCAAAACCAAAAGCCATCAGAGAGACATGACATCACTGCCAGGGTGTTTAAACTCAAAATTGATGAACTGAAAAGGCTGATCACTACAATGGATGGTGGTGTCTTTGGGAAGACAGGATGCAACTTGCACACCACTGAGTGGCAAAAAACGTGGCCTTCCTCATGTCCACATCTTGATATGGTTGAGGGAAAAGATTCATGCAAGTGATGATTGACACATTTATCAATGCTGGCTACCTGACCCTGATAAAGACCCTGGCCTATCTGATGTGGTCTGTACGCAAATGGTCCATGGCTCATGTGGGAAGCTCAATCCAAATTCATTCTGTATGCAAGCCTGCAAGTACACCAAGAAGTATCCCAGAAACGTCTTACAAGAAACTCAGACAGGGCATTATGGCTATCCTCTATATCATCACAGAAAATCTGAAGATGGTGGTTTTGAAGCAATGCTCAGACTAACTACAAAATGAAGGTTAACAATCAGGGGATCATTCTCTACTGCTCTCTTCTGTGCAAAATCTTTGAGGTTCACATGAATGTGGAATTCTGCAATTCTGTGAAATTCATGAAATATGTTTGCAACAAAGGATCTGACATGGCTGTTTTTTGCCTTGCAAAGAGAGGGGGAAAACTGTGGATGAAGTTCAGCTTTTTGTTATGGGAAGATACATCAGCAGCAAAAGTGATCCATTTGCTTCCAATCTGCTCCATCATGAACACTACTACACCTGAACTGCTCAACAGAAATGGAAGTGACATGCTGGTGAGGGTGAATCTGATGCCTTATGAAGAGTCTACACAGTTCATCCCAACAACAAGCAGTGCTACTTTCTGCAAATGCTTCTCCATGTTGTCAAAGGGCCAAAATCATTCCCAGACCTCAGAACATTGGAAGGAGTTGTCTGTCAAACATACAGGGAAGCTTGCCATCTTTGTGGAATCCTTGAAGACGATCAACACCTTAAGAAAGCCATGACAGAGCCTACTGTTAGTCAGTTCCCTTCTCAACTGAGATTCCTCTTCTGCATCATCCTTTAAGTTTGCTGTCCATCCAACCCCATGAGACTCTGGCAGAAATACAAGGAAGGCAAGAGTGAAGACATTCTACACAGAGCTCAGAGAGAAAATCCAAATCTCGAGGTGAACTTTTCTGATATCATCTTTAACCAGGCCCTCATCGTCATTGAAGACAAACTTCTCTCCATTGGTGAGAAAGTCCTCAAGTCTATGGGACTACCTAAACCCTCCAGGGACAATCAGCATGCCCTCGTCCAAGAGATAGTAAGTGAAACTTCCTGTGATGTCTTGGAGCTTCTTGACTTTATTGAGGAAAATAAACCAAAGCTGATGAATGAACAGAGAAGCCTACACAAAATTCTTGGAAGACAATAAGTCTAAAAATGGGAAGACATTTGTTCTCAACCTGCTCCTAGCTAAGGTTTGTTTGAGGGAAAACATTGCTCTAGCTGTGGCATCATCAGAGATTCCAGCCATTCCACTTACTGGAGGAAGAACTGCCCATTCCACATCCAAGCTCCTATTGGATCTATCCTGACGAGAGTCCCCTGTTTGCAACAATTTAAAGGGTTGTGCCCTTGCACAAGTCCTGGTTGATTATGAATTGATAGTGTGGTATGAATGCACCATGTCCCACAAGGAAGCATTTAAAGTTGTCAACACACTTTTGCAGGACCTTCGGGACAATCCCAGGATTATGGGTGGTGTAACTTTTCTCATGGCTGGTGACTTCTAACAGACCTTACCTGTTGTACCTTGAGTAATCAGAGCTGATGTGTTGAATGCCTGCATCAAGTCCCCATTCTTTTGGAGACATGTTTTCAAATTGAAGCTAACTGCAAACATGCGAGTGTATCTCAATGGAGACCAAGAGACGGGAAACTTTGCTACAGCTCTTCTTAGCATTGGAAATGGAAATATTTTTACTGAAGACACAGATGGACTTATCTCCATGTCTAAAGGCATCCTTTCAACTTCAGGAGAAGAACTGAAGCAAAGAGTGTTCCCAAATACACAACAATAACATTTCCAAGACATTATCTGGCTATGGAAGAGGACTATTTTGGATCCCAAAAATGATGCTATTGACAGGATTAATTCCAGATTGTTGCAAAAAGTACCTAGAGAGAATAAGTCCTACAAATCCATTGACCCAGTGTTGGACCCTGATCAAGTTGTTTAATATCCAGTTGAATTCTTGAATTCCCTGCACCTCCCAAGTGTTTCACCACACAACTTGGTACTCAAAATTGGGGCACCTCTCATAATTTTGAGAAACTAGGACCCACCTAGGCTATGCAATAGCACAAGGTTAATTGTGAAATAATTACTTTCTCATGTCATCAAAGCTACAATCATTACAGGTAATTTCAAAAATAAAGATGACTTTCTGCCTCAGATACCTATCATCCGACCTGACACAGCCTTTGAATTCAACTCAGCTTTGTAATGTCCATTAACAAGGCTTAAAGACAATCTTTAAAGCACACAACTCCTTGCTTTTCTCATGGGCAGCTTTATGTAGGATGCTCTTGTGTAGGCAATTAGAAACATTTATATTGTTACGTCTCTGTATGTTTGTTTGTTAATTTTTCTGCAATATAAGTCATTTCTTAACTAAAACTAGTTTATTCTTCATCAGTACAACTTTGCAATACACTTCATTTCCACAGTTACTTTAACTTAAACACACGCTATAATTCACAACAATTCACTCACTTTACTACCACGCTTGACTCAATTGTCCATCTCTATCTCCGCCTGTCAGCAACAATAGTTCCGATCTCTGTATCTGCTATCCTTGGTTGCCACCAACCGTAACTGCTGTCTTTGGTTTCCCACTCTCTCTCCCTCTCCTTTGTCTAGCTCACTTATATATACAGTATACTTATATACTCACTTAATAGTGCCTGCGTAGCCTCTTCGAGAATCTTCTAGACACTTATCACGTGCTACCAGCGTCATTTGACTTCTGCTGTCATAACACACTAGCGTTTTTTGCGAATCTTCTAGATACTCATTACGTGTTACCAACGTCACGTGACTTCCGCTGTCATAACAATATTAATTTGCACCAGAAGACAAGACCAGATACATTGTTTATAAAGAGGTTTTTTGGTGTAGTTATTTCATTTTTAGTATTAGTGTTTGCTTATATATGTGTTATATCTGATTTTTTGTACACAAAAGACAAATAATGAGTACTGGAGATAAAAAACATGTTAAAATTTACAGTTTAGAAACTCATATGTTTACTTTAGTGTAAAAAAGGTCAGTGACACAGACCAAGTTGAGCCTTGTTTGTACTTACCAGATGCTCTTTCTAAACCAGCTTCAGTATCTCTCTGACATTCAGTTTCTGTTTTCACATTCATAACATTATATTGTGAACTATCCTGATCCTCATCATCACTGTAACTGAACTTTGATATAACATCACTTTGTAGCAGATCACCAAGGTGTTCCATTTTCACTTGAACACACATGTTCTAAAAACAAAACACAACACCTGAAAAGGTTAACAGAAATAACAAATAGTGTTATCATTACATACAACACATTCTTTTATTTTTAATAACATACTGGAATATTTAGAGAAAATCAGTTTCATTACTTGCATGTTTTGAAATGATATACAAGACATTAAGAGAAAAAGTTTTTCTACAGTAAACATACAAAAAAAAAGAGAAGGAAGTATTCTACAGAAAACACCTTATTTAAAAAGACAAGAAATTATTGTAAATAATTAATAACAAAGTTCTTATTTAAACAGACAAAAAATTATTCTACAGGAAACACAAAACAACCACTTTCTTTTTTAAACAGACAAGTAATGATTCAGAAAGGAAACACCCAATAACAATTTTCTTACTTAAACAAACTATGAATTATTCTAAAGGAAACACCCAATAAAAACTTTCTTATTAAACAGATAAGAAATTATTTTAAAGGAAACACCAAATAATGAGTTTCTTATTTATCCAAATTGAAAGTAAAAATACTGAACTTCATATAGGTATCCTACTGCAGCAAAGCATCAGGGGTATCTATACATTAGGTACTAAAGAGTGAGAAAAACAAAAAAATTAGAAAAGTAAATACATACTAAAAATATCTTGATTTTATTTTCATCAAATTATGTTAAAAATAGAAGGAATAATAACCAGTAAAAAGTCAAAAGCCATAATTAATCTGGGCAAAGAGTCATCTGATTTCAAACCATTCTTAAAAAATGGGAAGAGAGAGAGATCATTCAAAAGGTGTTCAGAAAATTGAAGTCTGTATTTCCAGTCAGAAGTATCTGACTTCTTCAGATGATTTAAAGAAAGATCACAAGTAATGGAGGAATTGGCTGATCATCAGATTCAAAAATATCATCCTATTACTGATACAGTTCAGTCAACAGTTCCTGGGTACTAAGACCACAGATAAGATCAGAGATCATCTATTTTCAAACAACATAGCCTACTGTACTACAAGTATGCAGTAATCTTACACTGACCTTCTACAAATCAAATAAACTGATAATTAAATAATTAAAATACTTAAATATCACTGATATGGGTAATAATGCTTATACATAAAAACATATCACAGTTGATATTGGATATAATTATGAAGCCAGTTAACCAATATATCTATGTACATACTTTGAATAGGCTAAACATAAAAAGAACATTAAACAATGATTTGATTCATTACAATATTTTGCAATCATCTACTATAATTTACTAAACAGTATACTTAACTCATCTGATTTGTCAGATACTAAGACCTACAATTACATGATAGTCTACTTGCTCATGTTTACATTTTCTATGTAGTTTTTCAAAGCTGTGTTTCATTATTAAATGAACAAACCACTGATGTGGAACTATAACAAGATGGCAGCCAAGGCCTTTACAAAACTAATGATAATACTTGAAAATCAAGAAATGGGTAAAATATTTCTCAAGGGGTGGTATGTTTTAGGAAATAAAGTTATTCTTTGTGACTGTGAGCTTTAAGTGAGGTTCATTCATTTACAGACAAGACTTTACAAGTGTTTAGAAATAAAAATATAAACTTTTCATGAATTTCACTCAATAAATGTCATAAAATACCAAAATATTGATTCTAAAACATCTTTAGAGTAAAGTGTTTTAAACTTAATTCAATTTAACATATAAAACTGCTTTAAAATTATTTTAGCAAATATATGTGACAGATTTGAGGAAATCCTGTCTAAACTGTTGTACAAGAAAATGTATCATACAAACAAACCTGTAACAACCTGAAAATATGATTGACAGCAATCTGTGGGCTTCTCTCAATGAATATCTACAAGATTACTATACTAAACTACTAACTTTTGATGGAAACAAAAAATTTCTGTATAAAGTTAAAAAACTTCATTATCCTAAAAACATCAGTTATTAAAACATCACTTGTTTCAGATATAGGCCTACATCATGTTGTTACATCTCTGGTCCTTTGTTAATTATTCGTAAAAATTCTTTCCAAAGAACTTCAGCGATACAAGTCCTTTCTCAAATAAAACTAGTTCATTCTTTCTAAATTTAACTTTGCAATACACTTAATTTCCACAGTCACTTTAACTTAAACACACGCTATAATTCGCAACGAATGATTCACGCACTTTACCGCACTTGACTCAATTGTCCGTCTCTATCTCTACCTGTCTGCAATTCAATTGTTGTTGTCACTTTATTTGCTGGCTTATATACTATAAGAGCGCCATTCTAGCAACCGCTAGGACGTTCGACAAGTTCCTCAATCTTTCTAGATACTCATTACGTGTTACCAGCATCACGTGACCTCTGCTGTCGTAACAATGTGAATACTTCTTTCATTGTTGGATATAAGATTATATTTCAAAACACATGAAAATCAATACTTGATATTTGATGAATGATACTGATGTTCATAGAAAAAAAAATACAAAACTGTCAAAGCTTGCTATATGGACTAATTATGATAAAAGCTTTTCAAATGTATGATTGATGCATGTTTCAAATCATGTTAAGCATTATTATTATTATCAGAACACGGAGAGATCAAAAATGTTGTAAGTGTTGGTTTTGTTTTGAATTTTGTCAAAGCTACACAAGGGCTATATGTGCTAGCTGTCCGTAATTTAGCAGTGAAAGACTAGAGGGAAGGCATTTATTCATCATCACCCATCGCCAACTCTTCTGCTACTCTTTTACCAAGGAATAGTGTGATTGACCATCACATTATAAGGCCTCCCACAGCTGAAAGGGCAAGCATGTTTGGTGGGATGAGAATCTGAACCCATGATCTGCAGATTGTGAGTGAAGCGTCCTAACCACCAGGCCATGCTAACTGGTGCTGAGCTACACATCTACCAGCACTAGAAATAAATGTATCTTACTGTTATTATTTACTTTACATAAGGTATACATTACTAATAGGTTTGGTAATAGCATTCATTAGAACAAACTACTAAAATATTCATTATGAGTGATTTCAAAGCTTATATGTTTGTTCCTAGTAGTATGACTCATATGTAAATAAAATTTTAACAAGAAACATTTCAAATAAAATTAAAGTTATAATTATATTTAGACAAAAATATAAAGTGTACACAACTAGATTCTATTTCAACATTCATAAACAGGATGACCATTTTAAATTATTTTTTTAAAATCACTTTGCTTCTATTTTTTTTTTATTTTGAAAGTTAAAATACTCACACAAAATGTTTTTCCCATTCTTAATGTCCCAAATATGTTGTGTTAGTGTTTGAAACAAAAAAAGCATGAAAATTTACCATGGCAACACTTGATTAACATTCATATTTTATAAACAAAATAAACAACAGTTGTATAACTGTTAAAATCTTGTCTAAAAATAACAATATTGTTATTTCCTTAGAAATAATCAGTTACTGGCTGAGACCAAAACCAGGATCCAAACTTTAACTATGTCAAATTCAAAAAATTTGAAAAAATAAGTAATTGTGGTATTTAATATTGTTACGTCTCCGTTTGTTAATTAACTTTCCATAACTTCGTTTCCGACGAAACTTTAGCGACAGAAGTCCTTATTTAACAAAACTGGTTTATTCTTTACGAATACAACTTTACGATATACTTAATTTCAATATTCGTGCTAAAACAAACACTATAACAAACGTACGTTAACTTCAACAATACCCTGTGACTGCAGTTCAATTACTCACTATCTACACACACA